CACCCCCAGCCCCGTCCCCAGCCCTGGGTGCCCCCATCCCCAGCCCTGGGCGTCCCCCATCCCCAGCCCTGGGTGCCCCCATCCCCAGCCCTGGGCGTCCCCCATCCCCGGGTGCCCCCATCCCCAGCCCTGGGTGTGCCCGCCCCAGCTGTCTTGTGAAAATACTTCTGAGTTAGGGGTCAGAATGCACTGTCATCCAGTGTGTGCTTGGGGGTGAATCACAGACGTGTAACTGCTTCCCCGTCACCCCCGCCCCCACCTGGCAGGGCTCCCTGGGATCAGGGCTGGACTTAACCCTAAGCCTGATCTGCCCCGCAACCAAGGTCACGTGGGCAGCAGGAGCTCAGTGCAGGCCAGACTCGGCTGTTGTAGGCGCATTTCAACTGGGCAGTCAGTAGTCACTTACGGGCCCCCGGGCAGGGACTGGATAATCACGCCCCACGCACCCCTCACGTGTCCTGCGCAGACACGGGCCCGACTCACAAACCACACGGGGCTCCCTGGTCCTTGAATGCATGGCTCTATTCAGTTTGCAAAACCCCGAGGAGCCAATGGGCTGACTCCTCGTCCCGCGGGGCGTGTGTCCTGAATCCGGCTCATGGGAGCCCCTCGTTCTTCAGCCCAAAATGTCTGATTCAAATGGAGACGTGTGCCCTAAAGCTGGCGAATGAAGTGCTTCCCTGGACCGCGGGCGGCCGCTGCGCTGCTAAGCTGGTAAGCCGCCAGCTGCTGGCCACCATTTGGCACCTCCTGCCTGAGAATGAACCCATACAGATGACAGAGAAGAAGAAAGACAGATTCCTCAGGACCTCGTAGAGCTCCTGGATCCAGCTGTGCCTGAAGCCCTTGGACTTTCCCATTACATGAGGCAACCGGTTCCCTTTAAGGGCTCAAGCCAGTTTAGGTTATTTGCAATCGAGAGGGCCACCCGGAAGAAAAATATGCTGGGTTATTTCGTTGGGGTGGTTTTCACCCGGGAGAAAGTGGATTTCTCAAGCTCAATAATAAGACCCCAAGTGAGTGGGCAGACCGTCTGGGGTTGGATCCCGGCTCTGGCATTGGCAGTGCCGCGCCTGGGGGCGATGCCCGGTCTCCCCTCTCTTCGTCCTCAGGTCCTTCTCTCTCACATGGGGCTCCAGAGCTTCCGGCTCCTGTCAGTCGCTGTGCGGGCTGTGCTGCGGGAACAGTGGTCCCCAAATGACCGTGTCGGCACCTGCTGCTGCTTTGAGCCCGGTCCTGTGCTCCCCGCAGGCTGGCTGGAGGCTCTGCCCCCAGGCCCCTCAGCGCGGGAGCCCTAGATGCCCGGGCCAGACGGGCCACAATCCACTTCCGCTGACAACCCAACGGCGGGAACACGCCACCCAGCCCATTTCAGAAAGGCCACGCATGCCCGTGAAGCAGCACCGCCCACCATGTCGCTGGGTGTCTGGAATGGGCCCAAAGGCTCCTAGGAGACACCGCAAGAGCCTCCCCCGTGGTCGGTGGCCTCCTGCAGCTTCGATCTGCTGGCCAATGGCTGGCCCCCTCTGCCACCCACAGACGGCCCCACTGACCGGCCCTGCTGGGCACAGCCGGCAAGCCCTGGTATTAAGAGCCGATGGTTTTAATACCCTCGATGAGCCAACGTGTGCGGCAATCACGAGGCGCCTGCCTCCCCCCGCCTGCCCCGCACTCACCGTGTAATTACGCGTGATCACGGCACGCCGAGCGCTGATTGCGACTCGGAGGCGATCGCCTGCTTCCAGGCTCTGGGGCTGGAGCCCTCGGCGGCCTAACGAGGGTAATTGAGGCAGGGCTGATTGTGCCGGAAAGCCGGGGGGCCGGAGCCGTGAGAACGGGCTACGTCACACCCCAAACGGGACGCATTTGCTAAATTTGTTTCCGATGCAATTTCATGGTGATTACACTGATTTCTCCTTAGTAATTGAGCCTGGCGCTGAGCCCCGTGCGTGCAGCCCGGCTGTCAGGACGGGCCCGCGTGGGAGCAGGAGGCACTGGTCATGATTTATGGACCGCTGTCAGCGCCCTCGGAAAGGACACCGCGCGGGAAGGCAGGCCGGGCGCTGCCGGGCTCTCTGGGCCACTCCCTCCTGACGCGCGGTGGCCAGGTGTCCGTCCCGCTCTGTCAACTCAGCGCTGTGGGGGACGCTTGCCCCTGGTTCGTAACATTCCAAATCAGCTCACCGGCCACTGCTGGGCTGTGGCCGAGCGGCGAGTGGTCATGCCTGTCCCACCCAGAAGCAGGCCTGCCTCTCACCCAAACGCACCACGGTCGCCCCCCACGCCCACCCTGCGGGGCCTAGATACCAGGCCCCTGCCCAGGGCCACATGCTGGCAGAGGCCAGGCCGGCACCTTTCTCATTAGAGAAGTTTTTGCCACCGTTTTTCTGGGATGGAATCGCGAATCTGTGCTGTTTTTCTGGGATGGAATCGCGAATCTGTGCTGTGAAGGCCGCTCTCCCACGGGGTGCCTCACTGTCGGGCTCCCGGCAGAGTGCTCCCGGCTGAGGAAGTCTGGTAAACACGGCTCCGGGCCCTCACTGTCCCGGGCGGCCAGAGGCCATTCTGGACTCTCTGGGGCAGACTCTGTGTTTTGACGAGGCCCCTGGGACCAGCTCTGGGCTGGGTGAGTGGCGCCTGGAGGACCCTGTAAAGTCGTGCGTGGCCCCCGTGACAACTGGCCCCTGAGGGGCTCAGGCCTTGGTGGTTTTCGGGGTCCGCCGAGGGTTCCAAAGTGCCTCCAAGGTCCCCAAACGGCCAAACGCGGGGACCCCGTCCCAGAGCCCCAAACCTCCAGGCCTGGCCAAGCGGCGGCGGCTGAGAATCTGCACACAGTCAGTTCTGGGGTGCTCCCGCCGTCGGCTCCCAGCTCAGCAGCGAGGGTCCCGCCTGGACTTGCTGACACCACTAGGGTGCGGGCCCTGTCCCAGACCTCCCCCCCGCCCCCAGGAAGGAACACTCAGAGCCAGGGTTTAGCAAAAATGTTTAATCTCTCCTTAATGTGTGTGTGTATTTACAAGTACTAAATCTGAAGATCAGTAAAATAGGAAATAGCCGTATATTTACACAGTCCGCGGGCCGAGCGCCCCGACGGCCACACTGCTCGTGCGGGAGGGCAGTGGCCGAGGGGGCGCCTCTGGCCAGCCGAGTGATCGCTCTTCCTTTGGGTGGGGGCTCTGTGGCGTTAAAGGACAGCTAATTGTGGGCTTCGTCTTAAAAATATCTTTCTCTCTCTCTAAATATATCTATTCTAGCTTGGGTAGCACCAACGACGTGAGCCATCAGATCCAGAACTGGGGGGACCAGGGGTGGGGTGCTCTCAGCAAGGCCAGACCAGGGAGGGCAGGGGGATGTTCGGGTCCCTCGTCCACAGCCCCCGGCCCCAGCCCCTCGGGCCCTGGGTCAGGGCAAGCTCGAGGTATTTGGAAGGACCAGGCTCCCAGAGCGAGGCGTGAGCCGTCCTGGGCGCTCCTGAGATGGTGCAAGCAAGCAGGGCTGGGGGGGTGGGGGGGGAGTGGCCTGTAGCAGGGCCGGCAATGGCAGTAGCGTCTGGGACAGGCTGGGAGCCCCTGCACCCCGCACTGGGGCCCAGATCGCCCAAGGCCTGGGGCTGCAGGGGGGCCTTCGGGTCGCCGCAGAGGAGGTCACCGCACCCGCGCTTGGGGTCGAGGCCCCGTGGGAGCACGTGCACAGCTGCCGATGGGGGGCTATGGAGTTGGGGGTCGTGGCAGGGAGAGCACGGGGCAGGAAAGCCCGGTGGGAAGGCAGGCTGGGGGCCTGCCGCACCTGAGGGCGGGTTGGGATTGGCTCCGGGCTCGCGTGTAAACAGGGACTTAAAGTGCTTGCGCCTCCCTCCACCCCCCGGCCCTGCCCACCCACTGTCCAGGTGACCAGGGCACCAGGAGGGCGCCGCCCTGGAACCTAGAGCCTCCCAGAGGCAGGCACAGGGGCTCAGCTCTGCAGGGACTAGGGAGGTGGGGGAGGGGCTGGAGCTGGACTCTGAAGCGTGGGGGGCACAGGGGCTGAGGAGCCCCAACCTGACCCTCACAGAACTGGAAGAACGGGGGCTTCAAGTAGAAGCCGGCACCCTGGGAAGACTTTCGGGGGGAGCGGAGGCACGGCCAGGCCACACCGCAGGGGAGGCAGGGGTGCTCCCCAGGATGAGAAGCCAGGCCAAGGAAAGCGGTCTCTAGCTGGGCCGTCCTCCTCGGCTGCCCGGGGACAAGCCCCCCAGGGCGGCGCCGGGGGCAGGGGCCAGCCTGACCTCCGCAGGGGCTCCCGCAGCAGCAGGAGGCCCGAGCCCTGCCCGGGGCCCATGGGACCCCCGTCGGCGCCCTCCCAGCGGCTTCCTGGACCAGGAACGCCGGGATTATTTCACGCAGCACCCCCCCCATGAGAGGCGGCGGCCCCTCACCTGATCTCCAAGGTGTGGCTCACGCTGCTTAGGGGGGGGGGACCCCAAGACGGGCAGCCCCCAGGGCGCGGGGCCGGCCACAGTTAGCTGTCCCTTAAAGTCCGCGGGCATCTTTAGTACCGTCGAAAAAAGTGAACTTGAAAAGGGGCCGGGCCACTTGCTGGCTTTCACAAGTGACCAATTAATTAAAAAACATAAAAAAAAGGGTCTAACAACCTCTAGTATTCAACACTTGCAGTTTTAAAAAGATCAAGTCAGACTAAACGCTAGCACGGGCATGCAGGAGTCCACGGCCCGGCGCCCTGGACGCTCTCGAGGGGCCTGTGACAAGTTCTCTCCTTCTTACATCAAAACGAAAACAGGGTGACCCGCAGGTCGAGGGGCAGAGGCCTGGGGGGAGGGGGCTCCACTCGGGAAAACCCTGGCGACTTTCTCCACGACCACTTGATATTGCTTTCCCACTGCCTTAGTTTCCTTATCCTACACCGTAAGGTTTCCCTCCCTCCACGTAGCTATACAGGACCCCACTGGGGCTGGAGACTGAGGCCAGAGCCACATATATATAGATATATATATATATGTACAGGGTGGTTTTTTTTTTTTTTTTAATTAAAAACGTGTTCTTTCTTGCTCACCGAGGGCAGGGTGGGCAGAGCCGGCCCCAGGCCCTGCGGTCGCTGCACCCTCCCCCCGGGGCCCCCACAGCCCTGGCTGCCCACGCGGCTGCAGCACGGCTTGCGTCTTCGTCCCCCCTACAAACAGCCAGGTGTCCCACCGCTTGCGAGGGGCCGGCGCTGCAGGGATGCCAGGCCGGAAGCCGCTGAAGGTGGACGTGGAGAGCGGGGGACACGGTGGGGGAGGGGGTGGTCAGGGGGCTGCTCCCAAGACCTGCACAGCCGGAGAGCACAGCCCGCCCGGGGTGGGTGCGGGAGCGGCGCGGTGGGGGAATAAATAATGGGAACGTGCGCTCACGGCCCGGAGCCCCAGGCCCCAGAGGCTCCCAGAGGCACAGCCCTGAGGACACAGGAGAGGAGTCACCGAGTCCTTGTGAGGCCACCTGGGGGCTTCGAGCGAGCCATTCTGCAGCCCCTCCATAGGAGGGAGCCGGGGCCTCCCTGGGCCTCCGTGGGCCAGGGGGACGTGGCGCTCCGGCCTCGGCCGCGGCCGCGGACAGCACGCGGTGAATCGGACGATGGTGGCGGTGGTGCAGCAGCGAGCGTGGAGGACCAGACGTGGACGCGGTGGGCGGGCGGCGACGGGCGGCCCGACCTGAGCTCTCCTTAGGGGGCCCCGGCGGCTCGGCCTCCCCCAGGGCTGGCTCTGCGCAGGCGGCCGGGAACGGCGGACGCCCGCCTGGCCCCTCGTCCTGGCTCTCTGACCTTGGCAGCACAGCCTTGAGGACACAGACCAGGCCGGCTACCCCTTCCTGGGGGCACCAGCCTTACCCCCAGGTCCTTGGCAGTCACCCGACTCTCCCCAAGGCCAGGGGTCACGCCCGGGCTCCCCCAGCCCTGTGGTGGGCAGCTCCGGGGCACAGGAGGGCTAAGGCCCGGTCACCCCCAGCGAGCGGGACGGGGACCCCCGCCAGGCGGGAAGGGGCGGGGGCGGCCCGCAGGACGCTGACTCGCCGGCCTCTGCTGGAGGCTCGGGCCCCTGCACCGGGGGCGAAGCCGCCTCAGAGCTGCCTCTGCTCCCAGCTCTGGCTGCCGGACAGAGGCCGCCCCCGAGGGCCCTCTCGCCCAACTCCCGCTGGGTGGTGACAGCCTGGTGTCTCAGCTGCTCAGGGCCATCGTGTCCACCACCTGCTCCAGCTTGCTCCGGAGCCGCTGCCGCCGCGCCTGTTCGTCCTTCTCCAGCGCCGTCAGGATCTGCAGAGGTGGGCGGGGCGTCAGGGGGCCCGGGCGGGGCGCCTGCTCAGAGGGGCGGGGCGTCAGCGGGCCTGGGCGGGGCATCAGGGGGCCTTGGGAGGGGCCCCTGCTGGGGGGCGCGGGGACAGTGAGGGTGTCACCAGCGGGGACTCCGGAGCATGGGCCAGGTCACCCACTAGTGGCCTGGGTTGAGCCTAGAGCCCCAGAATCCTGATGTGGAGCATGAGGCTCCCAAGTCACTATTCCTACTCTCGATCCCCCAAAACCTCAACAGGGCTTAATCACAGCCTCTTGGTGTGGCCTCCTCATGCGAGCGTCACAGCAGGGCCTGGCCTCTGGGGGCACAGACCACCCCCACACAGCCTGCTCTGCAGCCCAGCTCGGCCGGGAGAAGCAGCACCGAGCTCTCGCCAGGCCCTCTGCTTGCCTGCATTCCCGGGTCGGGCGGGGCCGGCAGCCAGCAGCACAGCCTCGCGGCCACCTCCCTGCACCCATCTCCCTTCAACCTCGCCCGTGTCTGCACCCCGTTACAGAGAGCTCCTCAGAAAGGAGCTTCCCCCCTCGAGGGCCGCAGGCGGTGCAGGCACTCCTCAGCCTCGGCCGGTGCCTGCCTCTCGTCCCAGGCCCACCCGTCCCCTCCGGGCTCACCTCTGGGGCCGCCTCCTGCACTCACAGGCGAAGGTCCTCCCTGCTGCCTGCCGACCCCACACCCTGGGCCTGCCTGACAGCCTGCTCTCAGGTCCGCCCCACAAACTTGAATGGCCGGGCCCCTCGACCCTCAGACCCGTGCCCCCTGCAGCCTGCCCCACCTCCTGTCGCTGGGCCACAGGTCTGAAATCAGGCCCAAGCCTGTCAGGCGGGCAAGACCCAGCCCCCAAGGCGGGTGGGCCCCGTGCCCCCCCCCCCAACCCTGGGCGCCTGGCCATCCAGGCATGGCTCTAAACCCCGATGGCCCTTCCCACTCGGGGAACAGCCCAAGCTCCCTGGGGCCTGCGTACCCGGTGCTGAACCCCGCCAGGGCCCTCCCCACCCCGCCTCCAGGCTGGCTCTGATGTGGCCTCACGGCCTCTGCGGTCCCGCAGCGGGGCCCGCTCTGGCCTCGGGGCCCCGGCGTCGGCCCTGCCCGTCCTGCCTCCGCAGAGCCCAGGGTGCACCCGCCAACCCAGCCTGGAAGTCCGTCCTCCCGCGTCCGGTGGCTCAGGGGCCCCAGCTCCGCACAGAGGCCGCATCCGAGTCAGCAAGGAAGGTAGTCAACGTTGAGGGAAGGCCGGGTGCCCGGCCCCGGACGCAGCCACCCCAGCTGATAACCCCGCATGGCCCCTGGGGGAATGGTCACTCACTGACCCACGGTCTCCACGTTAGAGAGACTGCCCCACGCTCGCCCACGCCACACCGACCACACGACCCCTGAGACCCCTGACCTACGGCGGCCCCGCCCGGCCCTGAGGCCTGGCAGGGACCCAGGGGAGGACTCCTTCCCTGCCCCAGCGAGCGAGGCGGCCAGTCAGGGTGCGGCGTGGAAAGGGCAGGGGTGGCCGGAGGGACCCCCGCCCTCTGGGCTGGGGGCTCCGGCGAGGGCGAGTGCCCACGCTCACCTCGTCCTTGTACTTGGTGATGTAGGAGTAGATCTCGTGCAAGGCGCTCATGCTGTTGAACTGGCTCAGGTGCAGCCGCGACTGCTCCGCCAGGTAGGCGCTCATGTCCTGGTCGCTGATGGCGGGCATCTTGGCGATGTCAGCGTAGTACCTGCAGGGGGGTGGCGGGGCGGGCCGTGAGCTGGGCCCCGGCCCCTCGCCCCGCGGCCTGCGCCCCCGGCACCCGCCTCACCTCTCCACCCAGCTCTTGTAGTTGGGGATGTCCTTGGCATAGAGCAGCTTGTTGGAGGGCGAGTCCTTGCCCAGCTTGTGCTCAGACGTGGAGCAGGAGTCCATGAAGGTCTGCGCCACCACCGACAGGCAGGCGTCCGTGATGCTGCTCTTGTGGATGTCGAACACAAACTGCGGGTTCTTGATCACATTCACCCAGAAGCGCAGGGGCAGGCTGCGGGCGGCAGGCGGGCGGTCACACAGGACCTCCGCTCCCCTTCCGGGAAGCACAGGGCAGGGCCCCCCCTGGCTCTGACCCTCCACGCAGATGGGAAAACCGAGGCCCGCAGGAAGCCAGGACTCTCGGTGCGCAAGGGGGGTGCACCCCGGCACTCGGCACCCACTCCAGGAGGACAGGCCCTCCACACGGGCACAAGTGGGTGACAGACACATGGACCAGAAGTGCTCCCTCACCCTCGGGTGCCTGCCGCGCACACACGGTCCTCCTGGGCCTGAGGGCTGCCCACATCAGGCTCACACACGCCCGCACGCTCGCCCCAGGGGCGCACACTCCTGTGCAAGCTCACACACACTCGCACGCTCGCCCCAGGGGTGCACACTCCTGTGCAGGCTCACACACACTCGCACGCTCGCCCAGGGGTGCACACTCCTGTGCAGGCTCACACACACTCGCACGCTCGCCCAGGGGTGCACACTCCTGTGCAGGCTCACACACGTCCGCACGCTCGCCCAGGGGTGCACACTCCTGTGCAGGCTCACACACACTCGCACGCTCGCCCCAGGGGCGCACACTCCTGTGCAAGCTCACACACGTCCGCACGCTCGCCCAGGGGTGCACACTCCTGTGCAGGCTCACACACACTCGCACGCTCGCCCCAGGGGTGCACACTCCCAGGCCAGCTCACCCCTGCTCCTACCCAGATGGACCCTGGAAGTGAGACCAGGAGGGGACCCAGGAGACGCAGCCCCACAGGCGGCTGATCTCTCTTCATCCAAAATGCCACCTCCAGGACAGCCACCAGCTAGGGCACCAGAACCCACTAGTCACGTGTGGTCGTTTAATTAAATAGAATTAAATGAAACATAAAGTCCCGATTTTTGGTTGCACAAGTCTCACGTCAATTGCTCAGGGGCCACGTGTGGCTGCTGGCCACTGCTCTGGACAGCAGAGCTCTAGAACATTCCATCATAATGGGAAACTCCCTGGACGATGCAGACCTGTAGGGTGCTGCCTCCTCGCCAGTGCTCTGGGGGACCCCTCCAGGCACACGGAGGAGCTGGAGCACCGGCTGGGCCCCAACTAAGGCCGGGCTGCATCCCAGGCTCGGGAAGCGGCACACATAGAAGCCAAAGTTGGAGGGGCCGAGATCACCAGAGGACGAGGGACGCCGACGCCACAGGAGCCTCTCTGGAGACGGGGCACGTGTGCGGAGGGCACGGTCAGGCCAAAAAGACACGAGCCCAACAGGGCGGTGGCTGCTGGCCCCGGGGAGGGGGGGGTGTGGGGGGAGGGACGAGAGCTCTGGCAGTGCCGGCCCTCACGGTCACGTCCTCACCGCAGCCGGCCAGCGCGGGGCCTGCTCTCACACGGCAGCCCACACTCACACACCCGCACACAGCCGAGCACGCCCAAACACACCCGTGGTCACACCCGCACGAAGACACACACGGATCCACCGCCTACACCTAAGGCAGGTCCTGCAAGTCGGAGCAGAGGATGTGCCCAGACCCTGCGCAGGGGAGAGGCAACGGACACCCCCGGACACGTGAGTCAGGAAGGCTTGTCGGAGAGGAGCTGGCCTCAGCACGGAGGCCACGCACCAGGGGGCCGGTCTCCCACCTCCCTGCCCCTGGCCCCCCCCCAGCCTCCCACAGCCCCACAGCTGCTGCGCTGCACCTGCCCCGGCCCACCGCGTCCCCCCCCCCACACCAGCCCTGGCTCACCACGCCCATCCCACCCCCCCCCCACACCTGCCCCGGCCCACCACCCCCCCCCCCACCTGCCCCGGCCCACCACACCCCTCCCAAGAACACACCAGTTGCTCTTCCAGGTGTGGCGCACGTCGGAGTCGTGAATCTGGTGCTGGTCGGCCTGCTCGTCCAGAAAGTCGAACATGTACTTGATGGCCAGCGGCAGGGCCGAGCCCCGGTGCGCCGTGCTGAAGATGGTCTCAAACAGGTCGTCCACAAACTTCTGCAGCGTGCCCTGTGCGCGAGCGAGCGCGCAGAGCTGTGGGGGGCCGCCGAGCCGCCCCTCACCCCCGGCGGCCGGGGCGCTGGCTGCACCGCCCGGAAAAGGCTGGGGATGAGCCTGGCTTCCGGAGGTCCCCCCCGCCGCCCCCCCCCCGCCCCCCCGGGGCCTACTTTGGTGGCCAGCAGCCGCGTCAGGTAGATCTCCGAGACCATCTTGCTGCCCCGGTCGCCCTCCCGCTGGTCCAGGTGGTCGTGGTTCTTCACCAGGTGCCACAGCTTGGTGCCGCTCTCCAGGTCGGGCGTGATCATGGGCGTGCGGGAGCGGAGGCTGTCGGGGCTGCTGGCCGTGCGCAGCATGCTCTCTGCGGGCACCGCGCCCATCAGCGGGGCCCCTGCACGCCTAGCACCCGTGCGCACGCTGGCGCGAGCGGGGCGGCCTCAGGCCGGGTGCCCCCGCCCCCCACCCTTGTCTGGGCCTCAGCTTCCTCATCCGAGAAGTGGAGTCAACAGCCCCGCCTCCCTGGGTTGCGGGGGACAGATGCGCCACGACGTGCCGTCAGCCCCCACATCTGTGGGAAAGGCCACGTCCCTCCCAGCCTGCAGCCAGGAGCACGCAGGCGGCGTCCCTTCCAGGGGTGCGGGCCCTGCCCAGGGTCCCCGGGTCTCACCGTATCTGCTGAGGGACTTAGTGAAGGTGGACGAGTTGGAGATGTTGTAGGCGGACGTCTGCTTGGGCACCAGGGCCACTGAGGACCCGTCCGTCACCTGCAGGCGGAGGCAGGAGACGTGTGACACAGTAGCGGGGGCCCAGGTGACACGCTCCTGCTGGTTCCCCTCAACGCACTCTGGGCCTCAGTTTCCCTACTAGTGCAGCTCGGGGGCTGTGCTGTGTCGTCTTCCCCTTGCGGTCTGCCGCCCACGGCCCGAGAGGCCTGGACACGCCCAGGCCCCGGGGACGGCCAGGCGCGGCCGGAGGGTCACCTGGTAGTGCGCCAGCGTGTTCAGCCTCTTCCAGTCGTTGTCGATCTTGGTGGTGACGTCCTCGTCCTGCAGGATGACGCGCGCCATGCGGCCCTGGCGCCACTCTGCGGGGAGGGGGGGCGCTGGAGGGGCAGGCCACCCGCAGCTGCTCCCCCTCCCGCTGCTGGCCTCTCACAGCGGGAGGCCAGGCCCCGAGGCGCAGACAGAGAGGCCTCGAACAGCAGGGTAAGGGAGAGAGGAGGCTCCTCGTCCAAGCTCCCAGTGGGGTGCACGCACCCCTGCTGCGGCCCCTGCCCCTCCGGCAGCCCCCACCTGTTGCGGCTGCCCCACCGTGGTGGCCCCGCCTTCCAGCGCTCAGCCGGGCACTGCAGCCCCCGTGGCGTGCGGGCCCTTAGCCTCTCCAGCCACATGAACCCCGGGACTCCCTGGCCCGGGACCGGCCCTCCCCCCTCCCCCCCGCTCGGGCCCTTCCAGCTCTGCAGCTGCCCCCACCTGCCTGGCCCCCGCCCCAGGATAGGGCAGCAGCCCTCGCCCTGCCTGGGAGCTTTCCAGAGCCCAGCTCGACCGCATCCCTTCCCCTCACACGCCCCGTGGCCTCCAGCACCCTGCAGACCGGCACCCAGTGCCCGGCTCGCTGCCTGCGGCCCCAGACACGCCCCCCCCGGGGCCGCCCCTCCGCCTCAGGCCGGGCCACATGCTGCCAGCCTGCATCAGGCCCCTCAGGGCTCACCCAAGTCCATGTCCCCAGCCTTTGGCCGCTGGGAGTAGGGCACGCCCTTGTACACGGCGTCCAGCAGCTTCTCCTTGACCTGTGTCACCGTGTCACAGTTCAGTCCCTTCACTGGCACCTCGGGGGCATTCTCGTTCTCGGGGTTCACACAGTTCAGGGTCTGCGGGGGGGGAGGGGGTTGCGGCGTCAGCCCCCAGCTCTCCTGGGGCGGGCCGTGCAGGGGGTGCGCCGAGGGGCGGGGGGGCTGCCGAGCCGAGGGGCGGCGGGCTCGCGCTCACCAGCGTCTTGTAGTCGATCTGCTGCCGGATGAGCTTGTCTTCGCTCAGGGAGTAGCGGGCCTCTCCGGTGATGGCGTCGATGGGGCCCTTCTCCATCTGCTGCTTGATGGCGCAGTAGAGCATGAAAAGGGGCTCCCCTGCACACTCCTGCGGCAGGCGGGTGGGGGTCAGGGCATCTTCAGGGCCTTTGGCCCCCGGCCCGCCCCCGCCTCTGGTGCGTTTGTGAGCCTGCTTCCCACCAGGGCAACATTTCCAAATATTTTTTAGGGGCCAAGTCGAACCCTGGCTCCGGAGCCCAGCGAAGACAGAAGAGACACGTTACGCGACGGCCCAGCTGCGCCTGAGAACTTCGATGTGAAAGTCCTGACGCGAGGGGCGAGAGCGCGTGGAGGACCCGCGTGGCCGAGCCGCTTTACGCCAAGACAAGACCAAGGCCAGTGGACGCCAGCCTGAAGCCTCCCGCGTCAGCACGTCAGGCCACAGTGGGGCCGCTGCCCCAGCCCCCGCCCCACGCCCAGGCCGAGGCACGGTGGACCCTCGGCCGGCACAGTGCGACGACTGCCGGGGATCCGTCGGATGTCGGGGGCCCGCCGCCCCTCCTCCCGTTACTGGAGGGCACAGAGCCAGCGCAGTCCTGGGTGCAGACCTGCTCACCCAGAGCAGCGACCCACCAGCCGCGTGGGACAGAGTCCACGGCCATGACACCCTGAGGTGGTCCCTCGGAACTCGGCAGACGCCTGCTTTGCCCCTGCCTCTGACCACGCGCCCTCCGGCCCCCCCCAAACCCCAGCCGCCGAGCCTGCCTCCAACCAAGCACGGCCCCACCTCAGCGCTTCTGCACCTGCCCGCTCCTACAACCAGAAATTTCTCCCTCGGGCCTTCGCTGTGGACAGAAGCAGCCCTGGCCAGTCCCAGGCGCCCCTCCTTCCAAAGGGACGTGCAGGCAGGCCCCGCACGGCCCCCTCCCCGACAGGGCCCCGGGCCCCCTCCTCCCGCGCGCGCTCGCTCCCTCGCGTGCACGGCAACACGCGCCCAACCCAGGTTCTCCAACCCGATGTCAGGCTGAGGCCCCTTTCTCCGGGGGTGCGGAATCGGGGTCACACAGGGAGGCACCTAGACAGGCCCCGCCCCCAGCCGCCTGCAGGCTCCCGCCGCGCTTCTCCCGGCCTACGGGGCGCGGCGAACCGAGCGTGTAAGCGGCAGACGGGGCCCGCACAGGGCTGCGTTTTCACGGGAGGCGCACGACTCCATCACTGGCACCGGTGGCATACGCTGAGGTCACTTTGGGACTGCTGCTGTCCCCTCGCGCTGTGCCCCCCGCGGACACGTCCCAGCCCGGCTCCCCGGACCTCTTACTGGGGCTTGCACCCACCTCAGGGCCCTGCTCCCTCTGTCTGGCCAACTCCTTCCCCCCTTCACCTCTCACCCCCCCGGCCCCCTGCCCCTTTCACACCTGCTCCATTTCCCGTCCACACCTCCCTCCCCAGTCGGGGCAAACTCTGCTCCGGGCAGCTCGGAAAGCCCGCTGCTGTCCCCGCTTCAGTACGGACCCCCGGAACCGAGGTCCTTGGCTATGAAGCAACTCCAGGCCGCCTGCGCCAGCACGACCCCCGCCACCCAGCAGCCACAGGGCTCCGCGGCCCGCGCCCGTGGCCACCTGCTGAGCCATCCCGACGCCAGAGACCAGGTGGGAGCACGAGCCAGGCTACGGACACTCGGGTCCATATCGCTCAGTTTCTAAAGTGCAGGTGGCCGACTGCGAATCCTGGAACAAAACCCACCGGGGCCCACATGAGCCCCCACCGCACTCGGAGGCGGCCACGGGCCTCCAGGCTCATCTCCTGAGGGTGGCGACAAAGCCCAGGCGGCCACGCTCTGTCCACAGCAGGGGCCACCGGTGCCCAGGACCCTCGGCAGCCTGGCCAGCACCAGGACACGAAGCCCCTGTCGGGCATCCTCTCCGGAGGCTACGGAGACCTGGGCCCGTGTCCAGGCTCCAGCTCGGCTGGATCCGCCGTGGGCCCCGCACAGCTCGCCACAGAGCCGGGGTGGGGGTGGGGGTGGGGGTGGGGGGGTGGTCTGCACCGTGGCTCCAGGCTGGTGAGATGCAGGCCACCTCCAGGAGGAGGAGGGGGGAGGCCAGCGGACACGGGTCCTTGGAGAGGTCGTGCTGAGACCTGGTCCCCAGGTGAGCCACTCTGGCCTGAGCTCCCCCCGCACCTGCCTGTCCCACTCTCTCCTTTGTCCCTTGAAGCCATTCACCCCCCTGACACCCCACCTCGGACCTTCTCCCTCCTCGGCACCCACCTACCTTCAGGAATTTGTACAAAAGGAAGGTAAACCAGTTGGTCAGCATCTTCTCCGCCACAGATTCGGTCCTGGAGGCACAACATGGGCGGAGATGGCTTAACGGGGCCGCTGTGCCCGCCCGCCGTGGAGCTGAAGGTCAGGCCCGGAAAGGCACTGCAGGTGTCAGGAGGCTGGGGGGCTGCCGTGGAGACCCCGGCCCTTGGCCCCAGAGCCAGGCCTCTGAGCGGGACAACTCTGGCTTGGTGCCGATGGGCGTCAGGTACGGCGTGCCCCAGAGCAGGGGCCCTGTGCCCGACACGCCAGCTAGGCCCCCGGTCTGCGTGTGGGAAGGGCAGGCTAGGGAGGGGCAGGGGGGGCTCCCCCCGGGTCTGCGGTGGGAGGGGCAGCCTCACCGGCGCAGCAGCAGCTTGGGGTGGTTCTTGCTCTCGAGGTTCTTCTCGATGAGGTCGGACAGCAGCTGCTTGAGCACCCCCGTGGCGTACTCCATCTCGCCCTGCAGGGCCGTCATGATGAGCGAAGCCACGTTGCCGCGGTCCCGCATGGAAAAGCTGCGCTGGGCCTCCAGCGTGCGGATGAAGGTCAGCAGGAAGTGCTTCTTGGTGAGCAGCTGCCCGAACAGCGTCAGGGACTTCTCCACGTTGGCCTGCACCTGGGGGGCGGGAGGGCCCGCTCAGACCCGGAGCAGGAGGCAGGAGGGGCAGGCCTTCTGGGCGGGGGGCTGCGGGCAGGGCCGGGGAGCAGGACTTGAAGGCGGGTGACCCGTTGCCCTGACAGGTCCCGGGGCCTCAGCTGTGTCCTCGGCAGGATGGACGTGGGGAAAAAGGGCGGGTCACAGGCATGGCTGGCTCCAGGGTCCCTACTCTGTCTTATCTACACCGAGGCTCGTCAACATAGGAGGTTCCCCACGAGGCTACACCAGAGGCTGCCGGTGACGCGTGCTGCCAGCCCAGGCAGACGGGTGACGGGACTCAAGCGCACGAGCACAAGGCCCAGCACGCGGGCGGGAGCACCGGGGAGAAGACCCGGGAGCGCGCGTGGAGCCTGACGGGGCAGCCGTTCTGGGGCTGAGGAGGGCTGGGCCGCCCGCGGTGGCCCTGGGCCTGAGCCAGAGTGACACGGGCCCGTCCCCGCACAGCGGAGCTGCGATCGTGAGTGCGCTCCCCAGCGTCCGAAGTGTGCGGGTGGGACACCGTCGGGCAGACAGCGCCACCAGGCCGACCAGCAAGCGCCCGCCTGTTCGTAGCCGGGGCCTGGCTCCCCGCCTGCCGCCGGGGGCGCCTAGAGACACCGGGGCAGCCCTCTCGCGTTCAGCAAGCTCGTGCCAAGAGTCTGAGCACTGCCAACGCCCACGGGGCAGAGCCCAGCTCTCTGAGCACCACGCCCTCACCCCCAGGCCCGTGCGGAGCCTAGCTGGGCACCCCCACCTCCCGGCATGCAGGGCAGCAGGCCCCGCCCCGGTGAAGCTCAGGACCCAATGCCAGCCAGGAGGCAGGACGGGTGAGCTACTGATGGAAGCCGGGACACGAGAACCGCATGAAACAGAGGCAGGCGCCGAGGGGCCCAGACCGCAGCCAAGGTGGCCGTGAAGCTGGCCTGACCCCCGACGTCCACCAGGCCCGGCCCCGTGCCTCCCAGTGCCCCGCCCGACAGGCTTGGGCCACCCCCCGGGGCCCCAGGCTGTCCCCCCGGCCCCAGGAGCCCCGGACGACAGCCCACCTCCATCTCCTTGAGCACAGGATGGTCCTCGATCCCGGGGAAGAGCACGCGCATGGCATAGGTCCGGTAGTCGAGGAACGGGATGCCCGCCCCGTCCAGGTCGTTGGTCAGCTCGTGGATGTCCGTCTGCAGCTCCGCAAAGGCTGCAGCCAGACCAGGTGTCAGGGCAGGCGCCCCCCAGCCCCCACAGCCCCAGAGCCCAGCCCTCCCACCTTCAGGGCCCACTGCTGGCTGGGCGACTGCGTGGAAACCCCTCAGTTTCCCCAGGCCTCACGCACAGATAAAAACTCTGTTCTTCTGACGTGCCGCAGGATTAGCCAAGCCCACAGCAGGGAAGGCACCAAGCCTGGGGCAGAGCCGAGAGGGGCTTCTCGTGACGAACACTGGCCCTTAGGGGCAAGGAGATCATGGCTCCATGTGCCTCCCTGGGGGCACACTACCCACCCCAGGGAGCACGGCACCCACCCCGGGGAGCACACCACCCACCCTGGCTCTTTGGCCTCAGCTCCTGGTAAGAGGAAGGAGGCGGCCCGGCATGGGAGGCAGAGGCTCGCCCCAAGCCCCTGGGCCCTCCACACTGACAGCCATCACAGGATAACGCAGAACGGTGGACCCTCCACACCACCCGACCTGCTCTGGGCGCCTCTGCTTCTTTAGGAAACAAAGGCAGGCAGGGCAAGGGCAGGCCTCAACAGAACATTCCAGAGCCGTGAGGTGTCTGGCCCACAGCAGCCCGAGGTAGGCACTCTCTGACGGGCAGCCAGGGCGCTGGGGATGGCGGGCAGGTTTAATTAAGAGCGGGGGCCGTCATCTGCTGGCAGCCACACGGCGTCGGCTCCGGCACACGGTCGTCCTCACCCCCGGGAGGGCCCCACCTGCACAGCTCCCAATCCTGGCCCTGTCCCGGGTCCCCCGTCACCCACCCAAACCCCACACACCGGCCTGTGTCCCCTGGGGCTGGTTCTCAGCTGAGCTAAGGTCCTGGGCAAACGCGACACTCTGGTCCGGGGGGGGTCACTCAGAGCCCAACACCAGGCCCGAGGGTCCCGTGCAGCAGGCACCCACAGGGCCTCGCGCTCCGCCTGCCGCTCAGCTCCCCGCCCCCAACCGCTAACAGGTGCGCTCCCGCTACCTGCCTCCAGAGCTGGGGGCTGGCACCTGCAATAGGCCAGATCCCTCCCCCATCGATCACTGTTTGTGCAGCTCCACCCACCCCTCGTAACAGCCCCAAGTTCCCTGGTGAGGCGGCAAGCCAGGGGCCACAGAAGACGGGGGTCACCCCAGGCTGATCCAGTGCCCAGGGCACCCAGCCCTGCACTACCGCCTCACACCAGCCAGAGAAGCCGAGCAGGCGCGGCGATGCCACCAAGGCCAAGTTCTGCTGCCTAAAGCCCATGCCCTCAAGTGGCTGCCGTGCAGCCCCGGGCCTCCATCCCAGGCCGCTGGGGGGGCTCCCCATGGGCCCCGACCTGAGCGCCCACCTCTCTGCTGTGGCACCAAATCCTCATGCACCCCCCCACCCCCACAGCAGTGCCCCCGACACGTGACCAGGTATGGCAGTACCTGCCCTGCTTGGGATGAGCCCGGGCCTTGGGCACACTGGCCTCTCTGGGGCACACAGGGTAGAGATGGGGTGCCCCCCACCCCGTTGCAGCTTGGGGCCCACCGCCCTGGCCTTTCCTGCAGACCTCAGAGGCCCCTGCTCACGCTTTTTTGACCTCTGTGGCCCCTGTGGGCCAGCACCCATCGCACCATCTGGGGACCCTCCCCCTGTCCTGGGGTCTCCCCAATCTCAGCTGGGGACTTCTGGGGGAGCAGGCTTCAGGGAAGTGGGACATGTGACCAGGAGTGGAGTCAGTGATTGGGCAGAGCTGGGCCCGGTGGGGAAGCTGAGCCGGCCCACTGCGCCAGCCCTGTCCCCACCGGGAGCGTCCTGAAGACACAGGACTCCATGCTGGAAGTCAGCCGCACAGCGGACTTTCCCTGCACAGGGGCCCACGCGATGCCTCCACGCTGGGGCCTCTCTGAGCCGACTCCCAGCACTCGGAGAACAGTGTCACCAGAGACACGGGACCCTCCTTAGGAGACTGGGCTGTGGCCTGATTCCTGAGACTTCCTGAGACAGCCCTTCGAGGACAAAGATCAGTGCCAACCCAGGTCTGTATGTGCTGAGGGCCTACGAAGGGGCCCCATGGACCCAGTCACCACGCCCACGCTCCAGATGAGGGATCTGAGACCCAAGAAGGCTGTATGCCTGTTCAAGGCCCTGCACCCAAGCAGGGCCATAAACGCAGCACCTCCGGCTCCGGAGCCTGTATGTCAAGCAGCGCTCGCACGCGCCCCAGGGCCCGGTCTGGGCCTGGCCCACCTGCCAGAGACGGAGACGGAGCCGGCCCAGCAAAGGTGTCGGCCCGCCGAGAACCTGGCAGAGTCGGTGCAGAGGGCGGGGCTGGCTCACAGGCCGGCCCCCCGCCCCGCCCCCACCGCTCCGGGGACGCACCTTCCTTGCACTCCAGAGCCACGCGGGACTCCAGGTTGTCCATCTGCAGCTGCAGCCGCTTGAGTGTGCGGTCAGCGTCCCGAGACTTGCGCTTGTAGGCGATGAGCACGGCCACGATGACCAGCAGCAGGAGGCCCCCGCCCCCGCCAATGCCGACGATGGCGGGCAGGGTCAGCAGGCTGTCCGAGTACACCTGCAGCATCCCTGGCGAGAACTCGAAGCCGCCAGCCCGGACCTGGAGGGGGGTGCAGGCCGCTCAGGAGGCCCCCCCGCCCACTCGGAGCTCTGGAGACCTCTGGTACCGTGCTTGCGGGGGACCCCGCGCACCCGCTCCTGGCCCCAAGCGGTCAGGGGGTGAAGACGTGGGGACTCAGGGCAGGGCTGGGCCCGCCGGGGATGGGGGTGGGGGGCCGCCGGGGCTGGGCGAGGGCTGAGTCGTGCTCCCCCTGGGCCAGAGGCCAGTCTGGGGCTCGGCTGCAAAGGCAGTGCTGCCCTGGGGAGACAGGGTCAGCGGGTCAAAGGCAGGTGCCCCGGAGACCAGAGGTGGGGCCGGAGGGTGGACGCACCGTGACCTTGTGCTGCCCCGTGAGGTTGGGGGACTCGCACAGTAGCTGGGTCTCCGACACGGTGAGTGCGCAGGGCGTGGAGCCAATGAGCACCGTGTAGTTGAGCCGCGAGTTGCCGGGCGCAGGCGGCAGGAGGTTCCGGCCCTGCAGGGGAGGGTGTGAGCCGGAGGGCCCCGCTGCCCCACGAGCCCCCCACCCGGGGCCGCCGCCCGCTGACCGTGGCCCACCTTGAGGATGAGCGGGGAGCTGGGCTTCAGTTCCAGGAGGCCGGTGGGGCTGAGCGGCTCCAGCACGGGGTCCGGGTAGTAGAGGAAGGAGGAGGAGTTGAGCACCAGCAGGGCGCGCACGTCGTCCATGACGAAGCCCAGCTCGTCGGGCCGCTCCCCCAGCTCGGGCGGGGTGCGCGTCGGGTTGTCCACGGACGGGGCACGGCACACCATGGTGGTGTCGTTGTACACGAGGCAGCTCTGGGGACACAGGCACGGACGCTGGGCCGGCTGCTCCCCATACAGTCAGGCCCCGCCCAGCAGGGCCGAGGGGCCGCAGCTTCCCCTGGGGTCCACGCCCCCCCTCCCCACCCCGTGGCACGAGCTACGGGGGCCCCTGCAAGGACTCACATTCTCCCTTTCGACGCCTCCGTACTTGGCCCGGATACGGGGTTCGCGGACGGTGGCCAGGTTGGTGCCCGTGACGGTTAGGAGGGTCCCTCCACTAGAAGACGGAGCAGGGGCTTGTGGGGGATGCTGACGTTCCGGCGCAGGCGTCAGCCCCCACACACGGCTCGGAGGCTAGAATCCCTGCGCATCGGACCTCTGGCTACGGGCAGCAAGTCTCAGAGTGGACAGGGTCCCCCGTCCTCAGGAGGTGGCTCTGTGCACCTCGAGGAGGGCAGCATCACGGGCCTTGGAGGGGACTCTGTCCCCTTGACTAACGTGAGCTCCAAGCTGTCACGTCCAAGGCACAGCAGGGGTCTCTGTCTTCACTCAGTTTCTCTTTCACTCTGCACTCACCCCCAGAGACAGGCCGGGGCAGCACGGGGCAGGTCCCCCCCTGCCCCGCCCAGGCTTGAGGGGCAGAAAGGGGGTCAGGAGCTGCGCCCTCGCCGGCACCACACAGGACAGAGGGGCCGCTGGGGCTCAGCGCGGGCTGGGGGGGGCCCACCTGTTGATGCTCCACTCTGGGTCGATCTTCAGGATGGTGGGGTCCTCCGTGTAGTTGTACTTCACCTCGGGGTTGGTGAGCTGCGCGCGGTTGATGTTGATGACGATCGGCGCGCTGCCGGGGCTCTGCCCAGGGGGCGTCAGGCACCGGATCTCCCTGGAATTCCTCCTGGGGCCGGGGGACAGCGAGGACGTGTGAGCTGCTGGAGCCTGGGCAAGTCACCGGGCCTCCCCTGCCCACCCGGAACACGGAGCCACAGCAGCCTGGGCCCCGGGAGCTGACCGTCACGGCCACTGTCCCGTCAGCCCCTCCCAGGGGTGGCTGCACGTCTCCCGGAGGGCCGTTGCTAAGGGACGTGTGCCCCCGGCCGCACCCCACGCTGTCTCCTGATCTGAAAATGGAGCCAAGCCAAGCCTGGGCCCCGAGGAGGCAGAAATGACCCGGCCAGCGTGGCAGGGGCGCTGGGTCACCCCCCAAGCAGCCGGCCGGTCACCACCTGCACCTGAGTCCCTGTCCCCTCAGCTCCTTGAGCACAGCCGGGAGGCTCTAGAGCCGCCAGGCCCGCTCCTGCGCCAGGGCTGCAAACACAGATAATTAGTCTGATAGCGGATAATTACGGCAAGAAAATATTTAAAGGGCCGTTCCGTTACCATCCCTAATCTAAAATTATCCACTTCAGGCCTCAGGGCTTTTGTCAAGATTTCGCTTTTCTCTCTTAAGAAAACAATTTTTTAAAGTACTTGCGTTCCCAAGGGGACCCCCCTCACCCCGGAAGAGGGCCACTGAGCCCACCCCTCGGCCTAGGCCCCACCCACCCCCCCAGCACTGCCCACCCTGCCCTTCCCACTCTAGAGGTAGCCTGTCTCCATGGTAACACTCTCCGCCTCTGGTTTCCATAGCGATCACCCCAGCCAGGCTCTCCACACCCCCCTTGTTTCCTGGGCAACGAGAGGGGGCACGCACCCATCTGCACCACCCCCCAGGGAAGGTAGGCCTTGCCCCGGCCCCCCACGCGCCATCCGCACCCCATACCAGGAGAAGGAGCAGGGCCGGCCACCAATGGACACGGCCACGTCACTGCCTGCGTTCAGGTGGCTGCCCTCGATGCCAATCCAGGTGCCCCCGGACAGAGGCCCTCGGGCAGGGCTCACCCGGTAGAAGGTCGGAGTCTAGGGGACGAAGGGACTAGTGTGAGGTGCAGGGAAGGCCTGGCCCTCGGGCCAGAGGCCTGCGGCACCTCCAGACGAGCCCCAAGCCCCGTGCTCGGGGGCTCCGGGGCGTGGCCCACAGTCAGGGCCCAGAGTATGCAGCCGGGGGCCTGGAGCTGGGCCCTGGAGACGGGGGCGCTGAGGGGAGACCAGAGACCACCCGCTGAGGTGGGTGAGGGGGCCCACGGAGTCCCGGGGAGCTCCATCCAGCCCCTGCGCGGCTCCCCTCAGCCACTGGGGGAGGACAGGGGTCCCGGCTGGGCGGGGCTTACCACGAAGGTGAAGCGCTTGGGTGACAGGGCCCGGTAGTGGGGGGAGCAGTCTCGCACGCACACCTCGACCAGGGCATCATGGGAGCGCACTGTGCTGGCGTCCCCGATCTCGCAGACGATCCTGTGTGCCACCAGGTGACCTGAGCGGGCTGCGGGCTGGCGCCCCACCCACCCGCCCGCTGGCCCCGCCCCGGCCGCACTCACTGCTCGGCGCTGATGTACTCGCTCTCCACGGGGCTGCACAGCACCTTGCCCACGCGCACGCCCAGCCGCACGTCCTCAAAGCGCAGGCCCAGGTTCTCACCCGTGATGGTGAGCCGCGTGCCTCCCTGCCGCGGGCCCGTCTCGGGGAACAGCTGCGGAGAGGCCGAGGCTGGGTCACGGGGCGCCGTGGGCCAGGGACGGCCTGGCGCGGGGGGTGGGGGGGGAAGGGGAGGGTGCGGGCCCCGCCCACCTTGAGGATCTTGGGGTCCGCGCAGCGGCTGGTGCCATGGCGGGCATGCATCCAGGCTGCAGGCGAATCGGCGGGGCAGTGGGGGCGCAGGGAGCACCGGCGTTCAGCCACGCACCAGCCGCACTCGAAGCGCGGGTCGGCCTTGAGGCAGAGGCCACAGCTCTCGCGGAGGGCCGGGCACTTGTAGAGATGGGCTGCGGGGAGGGTCACGGTCAGCGCGCCCGCCCTTGGCCCCGCCCCCGTGCCCCACCGTTCCACCCCAGGCGCCCGCCCTCAGCCTCCTGGCCCCCCTGGCCCCCGCCCTCCGAGGCGCCGGGCCCAGCTCACCCTGGATGTTCTGAGGGTTGTCGATGACGAAGTTGCCATTCCACACCACCGACAGGTTCACGGGCAGGTCGCTGACGTCATTGCCCTCATAGGAATACTGTGGGCAGTGGGCAGCGGTGAGGTCGCAGGCCACTGCCCATGGCACCGAGTCAGGGCCTACATGCCCCTCCCGGCCACCTCTGAGCCCGGCCCCTGGGAGCGGGCTTGGCAGGGCAGAGCCTGGGGGCTCCCACAAAGCCACCCGCCTACCAGCCAGCAGAGAGGGCTAAGCCGTCACACCCAGCTCTCCAGCCACCTCCACACACACACACACACACACACCCACACACACACCCGGGGCTTTTTTTCTGGGTGGCCAGACCCATGCTCTCCAGCCAAGCCCCTGTCCCCAGCAGCCGCACGAGGCGCCCACTCCAGGGCGACCCCCCTTCCCCTGTGGTCGGCCCCACCAGGAAACCAGAACCTCCCCACTGGCCCCCCCCCTGCCCAGGCATCAGCGACTCTCTACCAACCCATTTCTTTGTCTGCTGAGTGGACTCAGTAATCCCTACGCTGGACCTGGCCTGAGGTATAAGACGTGCGCCCCCGAGCGCTGGGCACAGGCCAGCAGGAAGCACCAGGTGAGGCTCTGCCCCCCCCCCCCCGCCCCCCAGGCTGGGCTGGGCTCAGGGACAATACCCCTCCCCCGGGAGCCCAGGCCCCGCGCTCCCAGCTGTGTCCCACTTTCTGCAGCTGAGGGCCTCCACTCCATCCCAGAGCAATTCATCATTATTTTATCTGCAGGAATTTAATTGGATCCTATCAAATTCCCTGGTACTCCCTTTTCCCATTCAACACAGGCACCGGAAAGACAAATGTGGGCCAGGGGGCTGGGGGAGTGCAGGATGGAGGGGCCAGGGGCTGGGGCACGGCAGGGAAATGGGGCAGGGAGGCACCGACGGGAGGCGGGAGCGAAGGGGAGGGTGGAAAGAGACAGGCCACAGACCCAGAGACGCAGGTGGAAGGCGTGGCCCAGGGAGGAGAGAGGGAAGGGGCAGGGACCTCCTGGGCCAGCTGCGGGCCACAGGGCCTGGCCGAGGGGCCCACCTGCCCCGGGAGGCTGCTGTGACCCCCTGCCTGCCCCAGGGGCACACAGGGTGCTGGCCAACAAGCCACCGCCATTCGCAGGCGGCCGCACCTCCGACCACAGACCTCTCCCCTGGGATTCTCTCCGAATGACACTCTTCCTGAACAGACGGGGAAACCGAGGCCTCCCAGCAGTCCCAGAGCCGGCCAGAGGAGAGCTCGAGTCCGGCCTGCGGACCACCACTCAACACCAGTGCCCCCTCTGCCAGGGAAGGCTCTGGCTCTGCAAGGATCACTAGACCTATCAGGTTCCAGACTCCAAACGTGGCTGCTTCCCGCCCTAAGGCAACACCACCGGTGGATGCGCAGTGGGCCAGCCCCTGGGGACGCTTTCTGGGGCTGGGCACAGGACACCTACGAGGAGCCAGGCGCTTGGGCACTGTCGCCCTGGCTCTGGCCCTCCTGGGCGAGGGAGGCAGGCACGTGCACCCATCTGGCCGCCTTGGCCACGTCAAACCCCACGCAAAACCACATGTGCACTTCCCACCGTCTTTCTGAGTCGCCCTCTTCCACATCGGCGATGTGCTCCCGCCAGATGGCGGCTCACGGCACATCACCAGCCGTGACCTTCTCACTCCCCGCCCTGGGTGCACGCAAGGCTGTGGCCCCGGTCCGCAAAGCCCAGAGAGCCTTCTGAGCCGTCCCCGGGCGCTCGTGACTGCACCGTCCCGGTGCTGAGCAGGGACCGGATCCTGGGGCCGTGAGCGTGACCGGCTCGGCCCAGCACGGGGTGGGGGGCTCCCGCAGACGCCCCGCCTCACCGAGGAGTTCTGGCACTGCAGGCTGGAGCTGTTGAAGCGCAGAGCGGTGACGCGGGCGGGGCCGCCCGGGATGTGGAAGAGGCACTCATACCCGCGCTGGCCCGACTGCGGCTGCGGCAGGTTGCGGGCGGCCAGGGTGATGGGCTTCACCACGCCCACCGGCACGTAGATCTGCGTGGAGGGCAGGATCTGCGGACAGTCCTGGGCAACGACAAGGCTCCGGCTGAAAGGCTGGGCGCGAGCCCGGTGCGCCCTGCTGCGGCCCAGACCCCCCTCTGTGGCACCCCGGGCCCATCCTCCACACTGGCAGACAAATCTCCGAAACAGCCAGCAGACCTGGAGGCAGGAGGCCCGGGTCCTGCGCCCGCCAGGCCGAGCCACACACCGGGGGCCTCTCACCTGCAGGCCCGAGTGGCGCGCCCGGCGCTCCAGGACCCCAACTGCTCGGCCACCGCGGGAGCCCCATCTGGCCCACAGCTGAAAAGGCCCCTGAGGCAGAAGCAGCTGAGCGGCTGGGGCTGTGAGCTCGCAGCTGGGGGCCCAGGGAGCGAGTAAAAATAGCCAGAGCTGGGCAGAAAAACAGCCCGGGCCCCCAGGGCCGCCATTTGGGCAACAAACTGATGCAACGGCCCCGCTTCCTTGCAACAGAGCCGGCAGGAGCCGCGGGGAGAGGAGGCCCCGCGGGAGCGACGCGAGCTGCGCTTTAAATAGAGATGCTGAAAACAGGCCCGAATCCCCAAGCCCTGCAGCAGCTCCCACGGCAGGCGCAGGCCCGGGGCCGGCTCTGCAGGGGCTCCGGGCAGCGTGGGGGGGGCCCGGACCCCGGCAGGATGGCCACGAACTGCCAGGTCTGCAGGGACACCCCCCCGCCCCCGGCCCAGTGAGAGGGAGGTGACGGGGTCATGTACGCAGGGCTACCGTCCACGTTCAGGGACCCACACGCTCACCAGCACTTCCCGGGCCGTTTGATGGGGTGCCCAGGCCCAGGGACCCTCCTGTTGCCTCCCTGCCCCGGCTGCCCCTCCTGGACCCCCGGCAGCCCCGGCTCCTTCCAGCCACCGGGACTTGGCTCCCATCGCCCCCCCACCTCACACCTCCCTCTGCAGACACCGTCTCTGCCGCCCCGGAGGCCCGGGCCTGCGTCGGGCTGTAGGCTCCATGCCCGCATCAGGCTGGGGTCTGGCTGACGCTGCTCCGTGGCACCAAGCTCCCGAGGCCCCACCCCAGCGGATCCAAACCAGACGCAGGGATGGGAAGCGGGCGAGGAGCCCAAGTCCTTCCGAGCAACGGGGCTGGCCAAGTTTGGGCCCGCGGCACCCTCCGCAGAAAAGCCCCCGTAAAGCCTGGGGCTACAGCTGCAGAGGGCGGATCTGTAGGAGCCCCTTCCCCGGGCAGCCTCCCTGGACCCCAGGACCGGCCCACGACAGCCCTCCCCGAGGTCCCCGACCCTGGGGTCGCTCACCAGCCCCCTGCGTGCCCTCAGGACACGTGCGCCCAGCTCCTGTGGGCTACACCCCCGCCCGGCTCTCACACCTCCTGCTCACCCAGACGCCCCTCCCGCCAAGTGCCCAAGGCCCCCAGCTGCCCCTGGCTGCCACCCTGTCCCATGACCTGAAACGTCACACTAGGGAGGGGACAAAGGCCCGGGGTGAAGGAGGCTGGTCGGGGAGGCTCTCGGGGGAGTGGCCCCAGGCACGCTGCATCTCCTCTGCCCCCCGGTGCCCACACCCTCATGCCCCATCCAGCCATGGGCACGGTGTCCACTGCAAAACAGGGGCCCTGGCCTCCGAGTCCCCCGTCGGCCTGTGCTGCCTGCTCAAAAATAAGTCCGCGCCCTGCCGGGCTCCAGAACGGCTACTACCTAGTTACCGCCAGTCACCACGCAGCACCTCGAACGGCTCCGGGAACAAGCTGCCCACCCTGTGCGTTGGTCTGATGGGTCCTCTCATCCACGAGGGTTCTGGGCGCCGCGCGTCCCCACCTGCCCGACACCCCACGCCCCAGGCTCTCACCGCACGGGGCGGACAACCCCCCTCTCCCCGCCGTGGGCACCCCTCTGGTCCGCAGCGCACACACAGGCCCGGGCGTGGGGCCTTCCCTGGGGACTACAGAGCAGACGGGGAGGCCAGCAACAGACGCTACAGGCTGGCCTGGGGTCAGGACGGCCTCGGAGAAGGCCCCTGACGACACGGGCCTCGGGGGCAGCTCTCCCAGGCCCGGCTGCAGGCGGCGCCCAGGCTACCCACCTCTAACCCCCGAGACCCTCGGGCTGGCCTCACCTCAGACACGTTGACGCGGCCCTCCAGAAAGGCGCAGTCGGCAGCGTTGTGTGTGCACACGTGGCGGTATTTGCACCAGTGGCAGGGGAAGGAGCCGTTGACACAGGACAGGCAGCTGTGGGGAGAGGGCAGGGTGGGGGTCCAGGGTGGCCTGTGCCTCCACCCAGTGGCCACGTGGGGCCGCACCACCACCCTATCTTCCGTGGCAGCAGCTCACGGTGCCACCTCAGGACCTTTGCACCGGCCGCTCCCCCGCCCGGTGCGTCCCCACCCCAGCCTCTGCTGGCAGAACCTTCCCAGTAACAGACGTGTCTAAAGCCTGCGCGGTCCACAGAGGTGACCACTGGCCACACCACGTCACACGTGACCATTAGTACCGGGAAAGTGTGCTGGTGCACGTACGGAACAGCCTTTCAGATGCCAGTCTCACCCCAATTAACTTAGGTTTACGTTTAGGAGGTAAGCCGTCCCCGCGGGGCCCGGCGGACACCGCCGCCCAGACCGAAGGCGAGCTCCGCCTGGCAGGCACCTGTCCAGCTTCGCCCGCGTGTCCCCGGGGCCCACGCGGGTCCCTGCGGTGCCGCGCCCTGTGCAGCCCCCTCCGGCCGGGACCCCGTCATCTCTGCGGCCCCCGTGGCACCCGCGTGCCCTGGAGAAAACCCCCTCTGACTTCTCAAGGGCCAGCCAAGCCGCTGCCACCCCCCTTCTCCAGGGACCCTCAGCCCCCCCCAGCTCTGGAGTGCCGCCCCTGCTCCCGACCTCCCAGCCCACCCAGGACACCTGGGAACATCCACACCCAGGCCCTCAGTGGGCGCCCACGCAGAGCCAGGAGCCGTCAGTCTGCAAGTCAGCCAACAAACGCACAGCTGAAAGTCAGGGGCCTCTGGCTCTGTGGCTGACCCAGCCGGGCGGACCGCCCCCCACCCCCCAGCCCCCTCTCCGGCCTTCCAGACGGAGTCCCATCCAGCTCCGGGAGCACCAGGGAGGGCCCCCCACCCCGCTCTCTGTGCCCTCGGCCCCAGGGAGAACCCGGAGCCCTGAGTATCGCTGAGCGGCAGGTACCGGCACAGACAGGACAGTCCCTTCCCTCACACCCCCCCCCCCACCGCTGGGCCGTCTCCCGCATGGACGAGGCAGCTCCCCTCGGGGCTCCCTGCCTCGCCCTGGTGCTCTCCTTGTTTGAATCGGTGCCCCTCACTCCCCCACCCTGCCCTCTCTCAGGCTTCTCCCCACGTGCGGCCTGGAGGCTGGGGCCCCCCTGCCAGACAAGGCCCCGCCCCGCCCCGCCCCTGCCCTGCCGGGATGGCCCCCGCAGCACAGCCGGGACACTCACGACTGGTGGACGCTGCAGTTGTAGAAGACAAAGTCCACAGACGCAAACTTCTTGCCCGTCTCCTTGGACTTCAGGTAAAGCTTGACCACCCGCTGGTCTCCTGCAGAAGCAGCACGGGCCGCGTCATCGGGGCGCCCGGACCCAGGGCCCCGCCACAGGGCCAGGCCTCGCCGAGGACCCTCCCTCGTGACCCTGGCCGCACCCCTGCCCCTCAGACCCTGCGGGCCTCTGAGCGCACGGGACAGGCTGCTGCTCCTCGCCCCACCACCCTGCAGCGACCCCTCCCCAACCCCAGCCCCCCATGGCACTCACCCTGGCCCCGCGTGATGGGCGCCACCTCCCGAGCGGAGGGCGAGCGGCAGTGGATGTGGCCGTCCTCCAGGATGCTCTCGGACTCGGTGAAGTCCTCGAAGGAGCAGTTGACGCCAGCCGAGAGGTCGGGCACATTCCAGGCCTGCAGCACAAGCTGGGCCCCCCAGGAGGCTTTGGTGAGCAGGGACTACCACCCCCCCCGCCCCCCCAGCCCCCGCTCCAGGGCGGCCGCGCTCACCGGGACCTGAGACATGGTGACGGAGACGTTCCGAGGCTGCACGGTCAGCTGCACACACTGCAGCAGGTCGGAGGCGAAGCGCTGGGGCTCGTCCGCCCGCTCGCAGGCGTCCTGCCGCGAGCAGCTGCAGGCACAGGGGGCAGGGGCTGGGCGTGGGGGAGGCGGCTGGAGGGGCGCCTGGGACCCTGCGCCGGGGGAAGCCCGCTAGCTTTGCCCGGACGACGGAGCCGGCCTTGCCACCGCTCAGCCGGCCACGGGCCACTGCCAGGCCCACGGCACCCCGCCCGGGGAGCCCAGAAGCGCTCAGGAGCCGCGACTGCCCCCCGCGCACAGGAGGGCCGCCTGGGGCACTCACACGCTGTGCAGGACACACCAGCCGCAGTGAGGGTCCCGTGACCCCAGGCACAGCTCACACGACGTATACTGCACGCAGCTCTCCACGGGCACCCGAGTCACCTGGCAGCACGGGAAGCGAGGCGTCAGGCCCCCGTGAGGCGTCAGGCGCCCACGAGGCCTCCTCGCCGCCATCACGTGTCCCCTGAACCCTGCCCTGCCCCCGCACGGGAGGGCAGCCCCGTTTCAGGCCTCCTCGTTCCAGCTCGCTCTCTTCGAAGGCTGGTCCTGGGTGGCCCTGACTTGGCCAAGTCAGGCCGATGGGCCGGGCCCTCTCTCCCGGGAGGCAGCGGCCAGGGAGCCAGCAAGTCGGTGCAGGGGAGACATCCAGGGAGGAGGTGACAGCTCCAGCCAGAGCCGCTGTCCCATCTATCTGGACTCCGAGCTCCCCGGGAGGCCGTGGGCTCGTCAGCCCTGGGCCTAAGCCCAGAGGCAGGCTGGGCCCCGCGTGGCTGGCCCTGAGGGCCTCAGAGGAGTGGAACAGCCTGAGAGCTGGGACAGGGGCAGAGGGGAAGCGAGAGAGGCTCCAGGAAGCGAGGCCTGGCCCCACCTGCCCACCCTCTTGGCGATCATGCGGTCACCAGGCTGAGGTCAGAGGCTGGCTCCGAGCGCTAGGCCAGGAAGGCAAACGGTGGCCTCGATGCAGTGGGCCAGGCCAGGTGCCAACCCCGGGGAGGAGGCTGCCCGAAGTGCCCACCGGGCACACGGGGCCAGCACTGTGCCGGCCCTCAGCCCAGTGCTCGGGGCCCCAGGCGTCCGCTCCTAGGCCTCAACCGATGCCAGCGCTCTCATGAGGCTCTTATCTAGTATCTGTTCCTGAGGGCGTGCGGCCGTTCGGGAGGATTTGGGAAGCCCGAGCCTGACTGGGGGAACCCGGAGCCAGTGTGTACACAGCAGGTCGATGACGGCCGAGTCCCGCTCTCTGGGGGCAGGGGCCCCTCCCCACGTGTCCTGCAGCGGGCCACCCACCTGCTTCTCCGTCATGGCATAGAGGTACTGGCGGTCGGGGCTGAGGACCAGGTCACGCAGGATAGGGCTGTTCTCCTGGGCCACCACGCTCTCGTAGGCCAGGGCTGGCCGGCCGCCAGGGTTTGCCAGGTCTACCAGGATCTGCGGCCGTGAGGGGTTACGTGGGGCTGCGCCGACGCCTCTGTGGCCCAGCCCCACGCCTCCGTAAGGCCCGGGGTCTGGAACCCCGCCCCCAGCTGCCCCCCCACCCCCAAGCCCTGCAAGGACAAGGCTGAGGCCTCCATCTACCCCAAGGAGGTTGTGCGGGACACGCTTCAGCCCGGCAGGCGAGTCCTGACCTAGCCCTTCGTCCACGGGAATAAGCACGACCCGCCGCACAGCCACGCCCAGCACAGCAGGGGCCAGAGCCCCGGGCAGGTGCCCCGCTCTCCCCTGGGCCAGGCTGGGCGCCCTGGAGGAAGGCAGCGGGGAAGGGAATGAGGAGGCAGCAGGGGTGCTCAGGGAAAGTGAGGTGCCCAGCGTGGCTGAGAAGTGGCACCAGGAGGCTCCGGGGCAGGGAGGTGGCACGGGAGTGAGGGGCCAGGGCGGGGCCCTGAGCGGGGAGCACATGGCAGGAAGGCGGGGGGGGGGTGCATCTCATGGGCAGGGAAACACCTTCCAGATCCCAAACACTGGGCGCTAATCAGCCAGCTCTTCTCCGCAGCTTGTGATGCTACAAAGTATTTTTAGCTGCTTTTACCAAACAAATGTATTCAATTAACAGAGACCCAGGGGGCTTTCCAGAGCCGGGACTCGCGGGGCTGCGTCTGCCCGGCTCAGCCGTCCGGGCAGGCTCCCAGGGCATAAGGTGGCCGGCCCTGCGCAGCCCCCCACCCCTGCCCCCCCGGCTGTGACCGCAGGCTGCCCACCTCTCCACCTCTGCCTGGCCCCGACTGGCCCAGCACCCTTGCCATGCACCCCCAGGCCGACAGGACAGGGCAGGTCCCGCTCGCTCAGTGGGGTGGGCCGGCGCTGGCGAACACCCCTGCGCTCCGCGCTGGCTGAGGGCGGCAGCCAGGGTGGGGCGCTATGAGTCTGGGCCAGAGGCTGCCGGCTGAGGGAGGGGGAGGGCCGCATTCCTGAGGGCCCCAGGCCACCCCCCACATCCGCTCAGCTGCCTCCCAGCCAGGCAGCCAGGCTTAAGTCAAACCAGACCCGGAAGAGCCGGGCCCTGAGCTGGGCAGGGGGAGGCGGCCGCGGCTGGGCCCGGAGCTGCCCAAGCGGCTTGGGCCCAGGGCCTCCAGGAAGAAGGGGTGCTGGGGAGGGGCCGTGGCAGCCCAGCCCCGGTGGCCCTGTGGGGGAGCGTGGACAGGACGGCACCTGCGCCCCGCCGGCCCCGCGGAGCGCCCGCCCTCTGGCAGGCCCAGGCCAGCATCAGCCACAGGGGAGCTGGGAGGCCGGCAGTGCGGCCTCCGGACCCCACGCCGCCTGGGCCCGAGCCCCGGTACAGACACCCGGCTGCACAACCTACACGGGGCGCAGACCCGCTCCCTGCTCCCCTTCCTGTGAAACAGGGACCACAGACCCCAGCCCCCACGCCACAGGTGCTCTGAGCAAGAAGGGCCGAGCCAGTGCGCCAAGGAGAGGGGACGGAGGGAGGGTGGCCGGACCTCCAGGCAATCCCCAAACCCCAGCTGCCACAACGCAGGCCCGGCAAGGCCAGCCCAGACAACGGCCAGGAAGCAGGGGGCAGGGGGGCGGGGCCCGTGTGCAGGCCGGCGCACTAGATCTCCAGCCCCAGGCCCGGCCCACCTGTCAGGTCAGGACTCTGGACTCTCCCAGAGCCTGGCCTTACACCCGCCCCCTCCCTGCAGGCGCCTCCCGCAGCCCCCAGAAGCCCAGGCCAAACCCCAGCCCCCCCTCAGCCCCCCGGCCACCAGGCCTGCCATCCCCCTCCCTCCTGAGGGCTGAGGGTGTGGACGTCCGATCCAGGGGCACTCACAGCCCAGCAGAGGACAAGGGGACAGGCCAGGGAAGGGCACGAGCCGAGAGCACAGCAGCAGGGGCCGCAGGAAGGGGGGCAGGCGGAGAGCAGGGCCCTGGGGGGAGGGAGACACAGGCCAGACCCAGAGCCTGGAAGCCCCGCCCCTGGCCGGCAGCGCGCCGGCTCCGACAGGTGGCACCGACAGCTGCAGCGGGGAGCGTGCGTGTCCAGCTGTCCACCCGCCACGCGTCCATCTGTCTGCCCACCTGCCCGGCAGCGGGCGGCCCCGGCCCTCGAACGCGCAGAGGCGGGTCCCCGGGGGCCGCGATGTCCCTGGAGAAAGCAGAGCAGGCGGGGGCGCTGGGGGGCACAGCTGGGCCCGGGCCGGACGGGACGCGGGTGACAGGCTCCACGCTGTAGCCGCCATCCAGGCTCAGCGGGCGACTGCACGCATATGTGCGGCAGCCGGATGGGTGGAAGGCGTCCCGCCCCGGAACGACGGGCGCTGGGCACATGCCTGCTGTGTCACGGCTGGTTTTCAGGCCGCGGGGCCCGTGCAGCAGACAGGTAAACTGAGACGTGCGAGGGCCTGACAGAGGCGCCTAGAGCCCTGGGTGGCCACGTGCACCTGGGGACACAGAGTCTGCGCCCTTGGCGGGCGGAGGGATGCAGTGCGCCGCCAGGACGGCATTCCAGGCCCGGCATGGGGCCAGGCGGCCGGCTGGGCTGCAGGACATATGCCACACCGCCGCCGGCCCACGTGCTGCCACTCCCCTGCGCACAACTGTCTGGCGGGGGCCACCCACCTGGGGATGGCCCTCCCTGGGGCAGCCAGGCTTGCAGCGCACACCGGAGACTTCCGGCACCCCCTGGGATCTTCCCGCCCGCCTCCAGCTGGCACCTCTGTGCTCTGCAAACCATCCCCCCAAAACACCAGAACATTCCACGGACAGCCACGGCGCCATCCCTCCCACATCCCACCACGGAAATGCCTCAGGGTCCTAACTCGGCTCTATCTCTCTGCCGCGGCGCTCTTCCCCACACCTGCCCAGACGCTGGCATGCAGGTGGCCAGCCCCCCAGGGCATGCCTGCTGGGACACCCCGCGCCCAGGCACCCACCCACCCCTGGCTCGGACCCAGACGGACACAGCCACCCCCATCTAGCCTCTGCCCCAGCCCTCTGGCCCACCCATTTCTCCAACCTGGGTTTTTCCCCTGTCGCTCTGCACATGGTGGGGGGGGGGGGGGCCCTGCACCTTGAGCTGTGGCACAAGGGCTGTCCGTGTCCCCAAAGAGGGGCCTGGACCCAGCAACCCCTTGGTGCCAGGACCAAAATGCCGGGCCACACGCCTACCGCCACCACGAGGCACCCACTGCCCCTTCCCGCCGACAGGCCAGGGAGCAGGTTCACCCTCACCCCAGGCCAGCAGGTCCTGGGGGCCCAGGACGCGTGGCACGGGGTGGGGGGTCCTGCAAAGAGAGCCCCAGGGAGGTGGCCAGGAGCAGGTGGGCAGCCCCGGGCCCTGGCGGCCTAAGCCCCAGGCTGGCCCAGCCGGCCGCCCCCACACCCGTCCCCGCGTGGCTCTCGCCAACTGCTGCAGCCCGGCCAGGTCAGCTGTCCGTCCGTCCAGCCCAGCGCCGACAAAGAGCCCATTCTCTGTGCCGAGGGCGGGTGGGGCCCTGAGAGGACGTCTGGGCCACGCAGGCTGCTTGCCAAGGCCGGCACGCGCCCTAGCCGCCCGGAGGCAGGGGGCTGCCCGGCTTGGCCCCGACCAGGGGAGGGAAAGAGTCCCCCGCCCTGCCCATCCCAAGACAACAGCCCTCATGGCCCTTACCTGCGGAGGAGAGGTGCACTGGCTGCACCAGACAGCGGTGAAAGTGACCCCAGGTGAGGGACAGGCAGAAGATGGGGCAGGGGGGGGACAGCATCCAGTGACCCGGCTACAGGGCTGGGACCCAGGGCCGTCCCCTCCTCTAGCACACAGCTGCCCAGCCCATTCCCAGCCCCCGGCGGCAGACTGCTGCTGGGAGGGGTGCATGGGGCCGGGGGCCTCTTACAGTCGCACGCTCCGCTTCCCGGTCACGGCTGTGCAGGCCTGGCTCAGGGCGCCTCTCCCTGCTCTCAGGCTGCCACAGGACCCCCCCTCCTCCAGCTGGGGGCAGGTTCCAGGCCCCTTTCTGGGACCGTTCTCAGAAAGGCCAGGAGGAATTTGATACTGGAAGAGCAATTAACAATTTCCTCTCGGCAGTACCTGGGTAATTAAAACATGATTTGCGGGAGGCCCAATGGCTCTAATTGGGCCAAACACACCTGGCAAGATTGGGGGGAGGGTCCCAAGAATCTGGTCTTTTCCAACACGACACAGAGAAAAGCGGAGACCAACACACACACAGTGGTCCTCTCTGACCCTCGGTCTCCTCGCCTGCCAACTGACGCCGCCTCACAGGGCTGGGTGAGAGCTCGGAAGCTCGTGGTTCCAACAGCAGGGAGGCTTGCAAAGCAGGCCCCCAAGACTGGACGCTGCCACGAGGTGGAGGGGCGCGGCCACCGGGGAGCCCGCCCCACAGCCCTGGGGGCCCCGCAAAGCTGGGCCCCAAGGCAACGCGGAGCGCACAGCCCGAGCTTTGGGCCTGCTGTTCGCCCCCCGCCCCGTCCGGGACACCCTTCCTGGCAGACTCCTGGGGAATGCTCTGGCCTCTGTACACACCTGGCCGTAACGCCAGGAGTCCCCACACCCTGACCCCGTGGAGGACGGGTCCTGGGGGTCAGGGACCGACCTGCCCCTGGGCAGGGGGACCGCACGGCGCGGGCAGCAGCCCTGGGCCCGCACTAGGCCACCTCACCAGGCCAGCCCTGAAGCGAGGCGCGCACCGGACCGGGCACAGCGCGGCCACGGCAGGGCTGCACCCGAAAGCGTCATTCTCGTCAGAGACGCCGAGGAGCCCCGGCTGTGGTGCGGCCTGATTAGCCAGAGCCCGCGGGGAGGTGCGCGCGCGTGCAGGGCCTGGGGCGGGACCCTCCACGCATGCCTGCGGGCGACCGCTGGCCTCATGGGGGGGGGGGGGAGAAAGCGGTGCTCATTCTGGGACAAAGGGCTGGGGAGCCCCTAGACGGACGTAGGGGGGAAGGAACGGCCCTGTGCCCTCTGGCGCGGCCACCAGGGCCAGCTGTGGCCC